CAATGTCGATCTTAAGTGTGGGGGGGATGTTTATCTTTTGACTGCATTAGATCTGTTTGTGTGCTTGGAGCCTAGTCCACTGTCCAAATTTGTAAAATTTGAGGGCTCCAAGTACGTGTTCCTTGCAATTACCTGCTCAGTATGCTTTGAATTGACAGTCTCTGTAGTGATTTGCAACCTAGGGAGGTAGTGTAGCACTATGGAGGATGTTGATGCATTTAAGAAGTCTCATTTCTTCTTCATATTGTGTTGGTTGATTGAGTGAATTAGTGATCTTAGGACCCTTGAATTGTGTGGTGTTGTGGACTCTCTGCCTGTCATGGACTCTTGTATCATGTTTTGAAAATAACAGGTGCTCGAAAATGTACTTTAAAATAACGTCTCTCGTGCGAATAGGGCGAAAGTGTGTAAGGGGAGACGGGAATCCGTTCCCAATTTCCACCTACTACCTCCAGCCCCCTTACATGTCTTTCCCCCGCACGAGGCTCGAGACAACTGCTCCTGGCATGGCCGGTAAGAGCCGGGCTCCCACAAAACCTTTGCTAGGTGGGAGACCCCGTTTTCTGAAAAAACAGGTTGGAACCCTTGAAAAAAGAAAAAAAAACAGAAAAACAGAAAAACAAGCAAAAAGAAGGAAGAAAAGGGGTTCCAACCATCTTCAAGAAGAAAATCGAGCACCTTGAAAAAATGTGAGTCCATGATCTTTTGTTTTTGAGAGTCTCTTCATCCACGATTCATTTGTCCTCTGTTCACTATTTACCATGATGCCGACTCGAGACCAGCGTTCTCGCCGAAGAAGCTATGAGATGACTTGTGCGTTGGTTGACCTCGTAAGTTGCTAAATAATCTAGGAAGTCCTCTACCTACGATCGGGGTTGTTTGTTGCTATAGAGGTCTGGAGAGTTGCATTGGTTTGAGTTAGGTTTGCTTGGGGACAAGCAAACGGTTAAGTGTGGGGGAGTTTGATAGACCGATAATTACACATGTTTTTACCCCTATTCTGGAGCCGTTTGAGATGTTGATTCTCGTGTTTTAAGCCGATTTCACGCGAGGTTGTACGTTTATGTCATATTTCAGGACTTGGCATTGGAATCGAGGCAAAGGAACGAGATTCGGGTCGAAAGGAGCAAGTGAGGCTTGAAATGTGCTGGAGAACCAAAATACCCGGCCATGACCAGAAATACCCGACCGGGTATTATCTGGCCATGGTCGGGGATTTTAAGCTTTGGGCGTCTGTGAGAAACAGAAGGGGCCCGGGCAGAAGGCTTAAATCCCCGGTCGGGGATTATTGGAGCAGACCGGGGATTTTCCCTGAAGGCAAAACGTGCGTTTTAATAATACCCGGTCGAGACTCAAAATACCCGACCGGGTATTTCGACCGGGTATCGCGACAGGCAGCAGATTTAAGGGAAAGGAAGGCCAAAATTCAAGGGTTCCGAGTTTTTGAGAGAAAAAGCGATTCCTAGAGAGAGAAAGCGACGAACCAGAGTTCCCAAGTACCATAGCTTGATCTTCATCACCATTGGAGCCCGGCTTGAGCTTGGAGAAGTGCCGATTAACGTCCAGAAGCAGAAATCCATCTTCACAGTATGATTTCCGTGTCTGAATCTGTTTTTGCTTCTTTCTCCATGGAGTAGTTTCCCCATTCATCTGGGTATGGAGAACCCTAGATTTGTATGCTAGGTCTGATTGTATGAACCCAAGTACAGAGTTTATGAATTGATTATATTCGATTGAGGTTTGAATGATTGAATTACTTGAATCCTGATCAAATTCCTGTTGTTTCTGCTTTGACCTAGAATGAGAATATCTGCCTAGGTTGATAGAGTATCCTTAATTGAAGGTAGTGAATTGGTGACTTTAGTCGAGGAGCCAATTCGCTATTCTGTACCGAATTCAATTCGGTAGTGGAGGTTTGGTTCGTTAGGGCCTCAATCTGTTTACTCTGGTGGAGGTTAGTCGCCCGCTAGAGACTCAGATTGAGAGGGTTTGGAGACCTTTAGTCGAGACTTCAGACTGTTTAAGAACCTTCCGCAGTATAACTTTCATGAAAACTGAACTTGGTAAATTGCAATCCGGCTTAACTGCAGTCTAGGGGGAACCATATCCGGGTGACCTCTCTTGACTTGAGAACAACCGTTTAACTTGCTTTGCATTTTTGTTTGTTTGAATCTGCACTAAAAGCTCACTGCTAGATAACGAGAATTCACCGAGTAGTCATCAAATCTAGGACCCGGGTTGACATTAAAACCCAAACCCTCTATACTACGCTTTAGGAAGTGGTTATACTTGGCCATTTTCTAGAGTGACAGTAGGAGTGAGTCAGTCTAAGTCTAACGGTTTCATAGGAAAATTCTTCAAAGCTTTCTGGGATATTGTTGGATGCTCGATGATTGAAGCGGTCTGCTCTTTCTTTGCAACTAGTAAGATGTTGAGAAGCTTCAATCATACGTGACTAACTTTGATCCCTAAAGTGGATAATGTGGAAACGATGAAGCAGTTGCGCCCCATCAGCCTCTGCCAGTTTGTGTACAAAATTATATCAAAGATAATGGTGAACGGATTGCTGTCATTTTACCAGTAATTATCTCGTACGGGCAAAATGCTTTTATACGTGAACGACAAATTATGGAAAACATCCTCCTGAGTAATGAATTAATGCACTACTTGAAAATCAAAGCACGAGGTAAGAAAGGGTACATGGCTCTTAAGGTTGACATGGAAAAGGCCTATGAGAGAGTAGAATGACCACTTCTGATGGCGGTTTTGGACAAGATGGGTTTTAATTCCACCTGGAGAGGTTGGATTAAGGAGTGCCTCAAATCGTCGTCGTTCTCGGCCTAATGAATGTAACCCCGTCGGGGTTCATCGGTCCCTCTAGGGGTCTAAGGCAAGGTGACCCGCTGTCCCTTCTTTTGTTCGTTATTTGTACGGAGGGGTTTGCGACGCTCCTTCGGAAGATCATTACGGGAAAAAAGCTAGAAGGCGTTAAAGTCGCTCCTCGAGATCCTCAGATCTCTCATTTATTTTTTTGCGGATGATTCGTATTTGTTCCTGCGTGGCTCTCTCCAGGAATGTGAGAACCTGATTGTGGTCTTAAACGAGTATGAGGAATTGAGTGGACAACAGGTAAATCTGGCTAAATCGACCGTGTGCTTCAGCAAAAATATTGCGGTTCCGGATCAAGAATTTTTGGCTCAGATTCTAGGAGTCAGGGCGGTTGGGGTCCATGATAAGTATCTGGGTCTGCCGCTAATTGCCCGATCTAAGATGGCGACTTTCAGGTACTTGGAGGAAAAATTATTGGAGCGACTTCAGGGGTGGAAATAGAGAACGCTTTCCTGGGCGGCTAAGAAACCACTGATAAAGTCAGTTGCGTTGGCCTTGCAATTGCATGTTTTATCCTACTTCAAGCTTCCTCTGTTGCTGTGTCGTCTCTTGGATAATCATGTGGCCCAATTTTGGTGAGGCGTTACTGAGGGCCATCCTAGGATGGAGCCCCAGTCACTCCTAATTCAGGTTTATAAGAGAAATTATTTTCTGAATGGGACTTTCCTTGAGGTTAAGGCTCGCTCTCTTCCTTTGTGGGGCTGGCAGAGTATCCTCTATTGGCGCCAGCTCCTTGAAGTTGGGTTGCGCTGGCAAGTTGGTAATGATCAAGTTGCTCCTCTCCTTCGTTCCAATTGGATACCTCGGTTACATCCTGATCCTCCTGCTTTTAATCCCCCGGTTCTGCCAGAAGGTAGGGAGTCACGCGTGGCTGAGGTCATTTGTCAGGGGGGTGGACGGTGGTGTGCCAATAGCCTTAGCCAGTGGTTTCATCCGGCCACCTGCCAGGCCATTATGACTATTCCTCTTCCTTTCCAGGATGTGGAGGATAAACTAATCTGGCATGCCATGCCAGATGGGGTTTTCACGGTGAAATCTTCTTACCATCTTGCGGTGTCTCTTGATTAACGCTCTAGGCGGTGGCGAGACATGGTTAGTTGGATGGATAGGGCCAGTTGGATCCGTTTATGGGAGGCTGATATCCCTCCGAAGTTGAAAATTTTTGCCTGGCAAATCTTTAATCAAATCCTGCCTACTATGGAAGTCCTAATTGAGAAAGAAGGTTCCGATACTCCCTTGGTGCCCGATTTTGTTGGGAGGAGCTCGAAACATTGGAACATCTGTTCCTTTATTGTCCAGTGGCACGAGCCCTTTGGGATTACCCTGGGCTTGAATACCTGGGCGAGGGTTTGTCACGACATACCTTCCCACTCTTTCTGAAGCAATTAATGTCCCTTATTCATCAACCTTCTCTGTTCATGGCCGTTATTGCCATCCTCAGGCGGATATGGAAATCCCGTAATTGGGTTGTCTTTGAGGGGAAAGAGTTTGGGTTCTCGGTGTTGATGTGCCATCTCCATTAGCAGTATGAGGAATGGACACATCTGCCGGTGGATCGTGCTCCTCGGGTTGCCGCCTCGGTGCCACAACACTTACTGCACCCTTTAGGGCCGGGTGGGCTGTCTGGGGTTGTTTTCGGTGGAATGGGGCTACTAGGGCGGGTTCCCACTCTGCAGGGGGCATGGTTGTGTTAAATTCAGATGATAGGGTCCTTTTGACTCAAGGGATCCAGTTTCCTTCAATTGATGATCCTTTGGTTGTAGAGGTTTTTGCGCTTCGGGAGACTGTGCGATGTTGTCTTGTTCATCGGTTCTCTGACGTTTGCTTTGAGGGGGGTGCTAAGGTGATTATTGAGAAGATCCAACGGGCGGTGGTTCAGGATAGCAGGATGGGAGCTGTTCTTCAAGAGGTGGTGCAATATTTTGCCCTCCATTCTGGGTTGACTATTCGATTTGTAGGTCGGCGTAGAAATAGGGTAGCCCATATGGTAGCTAGAAAGACCCTTTCGTTGTACCCGACTACGAGTCGTTATTTTGATTTTCAGGCCTGGCTAAATTCCAGGATGTAACTATCTATTGTTTGGTATCAATATATGATTATCTTTTGTAAAAAAAAAAAAAGAAATCCATGAATACCAATGATTTATAATGCCGAACCGTTAAATGAACTTGTTCGCGAGCTTTCGAGCTGAACATGGTATGGCTCGAGTTCGACTCGTTTAGTTAACGAGTTTGTTCGCGAGCTGGCTTGATTAAGAGTCTCTAACATGGTATGGCGCGAGTCTCGAACGAATTTTTTTTGGGTCGGACACCGAGCGGTTTGGTTGATTAACAACCCCAGCCACAGTGGTGACTAGGGATGGCAATGGGTAGGGTCGGGTGCGGGTTTACCCTATACCAACTCCTAACCCGCCGGGTAGAGCCTTCTAAAATACCCGACCAAATAACCACCGGGTATGAAAATTATATAACCATACCCTACCCACCGGGTAACCACGGGTATTCGGGTAACCATGGGTACGAATCCTAAACTATGAACTTATACACATATGCACATACATACTGTTGTCCATTAAAAATTCTCAATACTTGTAACTGTTCTAACTTCAACAATCCACACAAATAAAAACAGCAAACACATAATAATTGTTCTTGCTTCTACAATCCACACAAACATAATGATCGTCTCCATCTTCATCATCAATAATGGTAGCTAAACTGAATTTCTCAAGCTAAACTAAATTTCTCAAGGGAAATGACCCTTTGGTTAGCAGGGCGGGTATTATCGATTACCATACCCGTACCCTACCCTTTATTTTGAAACCGGGTATTACCCATACCCGCCCCTTAACCCGTCAAAGCGGGTAATTACCCTCGTTGACCGGTTACGATCGGGTAGGGACCCATGGTTACGGGTTGGATTGACATCCCTAGTGGTAACTGTCCTCTATCCTTCTCTGGGCTCCAACAAGTAGGCCGAGCCCACAAGAGCCTCACGGCAACCTTCGTATTCTCGCCGCGTCACAGACCGCACAGCCCATGAGTAGCGGCGCCAAATATTTGAAGTATATATGTACCTTCCATCAATACCAAGTCGCAGTCCTGAGCACAAAACTCGGACTTTATTATGGCGGCGGCAATTAGAAGAATCGCAAGCAAAAGTTTCGCCAAGTTCACTTCGTCGTCATCCCTTCTTCTCCCGTCGGCTATCTTAATTCCCTACCGATCCATAGCCACTAAACTCTTCGTTGGAGGTACGCTGTTATACACTACTCCATATCCCTTTTCTATCTTCCAGCGCTTTTCGTACCGTGAGCTTCCGCTCGGTTTTTTCTTCCTGAATGCTCTCTCCTGTCATCGGAAGTTAATTTCTCGCATAAGGACCATAGTAGATTCATATAGGCGGGTCCCATTGTTGTTGTAGATCGACAAGGACACAGTTGGTTGCTGTTGGATTAGGTACCGTGAATTGCAGGTAACGTGTTTGTCGAAATGTCTCTGTGAAACTGGAACTCTCTCAGTTCTGTTGGCTCTTTGTTTCCTTTCCTATTGTTAGCAGGTCATCCCATTTGCAGCAGAGATTTAGGATAATGTTTACACTAATATCTTCATGCTTCCCAGCTAGCTTAGTCCCGTCTTGATGTAGAATCAGTCAGTAACTCTCCTTGAACGCACTCAAGTATCTGCTTACAGTACATTATATAATACGCATTCATATACTTGGTCTCGGTGGTAGTCGCAAGCCAGAAGTTTTAACGAGGGGTTTGATTTGAACCGTGATAATTGGGGAGGAGCTAAAACTTTACTGGCTACTCTATTTTCTAAATTTGTTACAAATTTTACATGTAATGTTACCTATATTTCAAAGCTGAGGGGCTCAACCCTAGCTCCGCCGCTGCTCGGTGGTAAAAGTGTGATGCTATTCTGAAGACCGACCAGCCTGCAACTCTTGCTTACTGAGAGCCACTTACCCTGTTGCAGGACTGTCATTCTGCACAACAGAGGACGGATTAACAGAGACATTTTCACAATATGGTCAAGTTGTTGAAGGTACAGTATCAAAGCTGATCCCCTCTTCTACTTCCTCTGTTGATGGACAAAGTTAGTTATCAAAGACTGTTGATTCTTTGTTTGTTCTTTTGCAGCTAAGATTATAACAGACAGAGTCTCCAACAAGTCAAAGGGTTTTGGTTTTGTGACCTTCGCTTGTGAGGATGAAGCCGAGAAAGCATTAACTGACATGGATGGAAAGGTGAGAACAACTTTCAGTTTCCCTTTTCCCCTTATTTTGATGGATCACGAATGGGAACTAACCCACTAGCGATCAATCATCAGAATCTGAATGGAAGAGTCGTTTTTGTGGATTACGCCAAACCTAAAACTGATTTTGGGGGTGGAATCCCCATTGCCAGAGGACCTCCTGAAGAGCCACCACAACCCAAGGTTTTAATAGATGAGGAGCTCTAAGGTTTCAAGCTTCTATTGTCTGAAGGTTTTGGGTTTGATCTCCCTTTACAGTCACTCCTTCATAACATAAAGAAGTAAGCATATTCTCTTATGGGATCATCATCATGATTTCATCCACGCTCAAAAGAGTCAACAAATTATGGGTTCATTTAATCAGTTCACAATCTTTCGCTTACTTTGATATTTCTTTACGCATACTTTTCTTTTTTTACTTTTGACAGCTTGGATTGGATTCAAATATAAGCTTGTTTATTTTACGCATACTTCTCTTTAGCATGAGAAGAAGACGTTTATGCTACTGCTGCTTCCTCGTGATTGACCTGCCCACCCTCCCCTGCCTCCTTTCCCACATCCCTTCAGTTGTGCTGTTACATCTCAATCCTCCGAGATTTTCCCATTTCAAACGATTCCTTCCACCTACTAACAACTAAGAATCTTAACTAACATGTAATAATAAGTTTTATGCTCAATTCAGCTTGTTTAGCTAACTAACACGTCAACTTCTTTCATTGTTGTTTTTCTTGAGCTCATTTCACAAGTATGCATTATTCAAGTTCGGTACAGCTCTCACCTTTTTCAGGTCATTTACTAAAGGAATGTAAGTAAATGTGAACATTATTAGTGTTGTCACTGGTACCAAAGAGGCAGAGGTACTTGTAGCCTAAAATTTGTTACAAGCTTATGATATGTGTTCATGTAAGGATCTCGCAATTTAGATCGTGGAGTAAATACTTAGAATGTTGTTCTAGGATCGAACCTAGGTTTTGGGGACGGTATCGACTATCGAATTCCTCCTTTTTATGTTGGATAAATATGAAAGTTAATAAGTTATATATATTCCTTCCCCTCCTAAAATATCCAACATTTTCAATAGGAGTAGTTGTAATTGTTTTATTTGCAACTCTTCTTCACTCTAAATTCAAATTTCATGACAAGTAATTTTTAGGAGTAAGTTGAATTTTTGGAGTTACGAGTATAAGTTGTTGGCGCAATCTCTCCTACGATTAGAATTTAGAAGTAGAACACCTTGATATTCCGGTAGATTTTAGTGTTACTTTCAAGCATTTAGATTTAGTGGTATCAAAGAATTGATGTAAAATGTGAGCATTACCAACAAAGTCCCACAACTGTACACCGCAAAGAGAACTATATATCTTTTGAAAAAATTACCAAACAAATTGAAGTGTATGTATATAATGTCTAAAATTACTTTCTTTTTCCGTAATTCTGTACGATTTGATCAAATCCTCAAGGTCTTCGGGTCCTCCAAACTTCATCGTCCCCACAGGAAAAGGAAGGCGAGAGAAGCGAAGACGAACACAGCAGAAGCCATGCACAGTGTATCCATGGCGCCTTCCGCTCTCAACTTCCTCTCCCTCCGCCGCCGTTTCATCGCCAAAAACTCCTCGTACCTCCTCCCTCCTTCTTCCCTTCCTCTTTCCCGTTTCATCCCCTTTCTGGCCCCACCAAACGCCCTCCCCAAAACCCCCAAGCTCTCCTTCCCGCTCATGTACATCCCGTCCAGGTTCTCCATCTGCAGGCTGACTTCCCTCACGTGCATCGCCCCTTCCTCCACCCCGCCCCCGCACGTGACCACGATCCCGCACTGGACCGACTCCGACGCCGCCCCCTTCTCCCCGGCCAGCACCACCGCGAACCGCGCGTGCACGTCGCCGCTCAGCCAGTGCTTCTGCACCGATACCGGCCGATGGCTGGACAGGTTCACCGCCCGCCGGCCCGCCGGGTCGACCAGCACCCAGCTCAGGGTCAGCTCCTCGCCCAGCTCCCTGCACCCGGACTCGGTCTCGGGGCGGGGGATCCGGGTCGGACACGTGTCCTTCGGGTCCAGCAGGTCGACCCGAAACGGGGAGCAGCGGAACCACCCGGTTCCGGTCTCCGTCTCCACCGCCCTGCTGAAAATCAGCTCCCCGCGGTGGTAGATATCCACGGCGGAGATCAGCTCCTCCGCGAAAATCTCGGAGGCAGCGGAGGCCGGCTCGGAGTAAGGCTCCATGTCGGCCAGGAGAGGTAAGGAGGCGGAGAAGAAGGAGCGGTGGCCGTCGGGGAAGGCGGAGATCACTTCCTGGAGGCGGGGGACATCGGTGGAAGGCCACGTTGACCGGCAGACGTCCTTCCATAAATTGTCCTGCGAGGCGAGCGAGCTGAGCTCCGTGGAGGCGCAGGCGGCGGAGAGGAGAGCGACGCCGTCGAGCCGCGTCAGGATGTGCGTCCGGAGAATGTCCTCGTGAATTGCGGACAGAGAGCAGCTGGCGGAGGAGGAGGAGGACGCCGCCGCCGCCTCCTGATGATGATGATCGCCGCCTTCGTAGTCAACTCTCCCAATCGCTTTCGTCGTCGACTGTGTAGCCATTTCTCGTTTCTACCGGGTCAGTTTTCAAGCGATCCCTCTCTTAAATTTTTTTTTAAAATTTCCGTTCGTTTAAAAATGCAGAAAAGAAAGAGAGAGAGAGATAGAGAGGAAATGTTAATTTGTTGATGTTTATACTGTGTGATGAGTGGTAACGGTCTTATATATAGGGTTCCCGGTTTCTATTTTGATTGTGGAGGGGGGAATTTACGTTCATGCCCTTGGGGATGCCATCCCGTTACGCAGCCGTTAGTGAACTGGCACGGCCGGCCGTGTTCGGCCTCCTGCCTATTTTTTTTTGTCCGAAACAAGGCTGGGAGGAAACGACAGGGCTGTTTGTGTAATTTTAAACGGCGCACGGTGCTTCCCGGTCTCTGAACTCTGGAGGCGTATTGGTTACGTAAAGGCGGTCTATGATGAGCTAGACAGATAATATTTTAATGATTAAATAATATTAATTACTTTTTCCGTCAAGAGCATTATTGTGGAATGACCTACTCTGCTCCTTTAAGCTTAATTTAATTTTAATCATTTGATTAGTGTGAGTGACGGAAAAGGGGGTTAGGCAGCTCTTTTATCTTTATTTTCTTTCATTAGTCAGAATTATTAAATCACAAGTTGTATGATTTTTCTTTTAATTTTAGTTTATGAAAGGAAATTAAGGCCTCTTCTTTATTGATTGTGATTTATCACTATTGGAGGGGCGCTTTTTGTTTGTTAATTAAATACTACGAAGTCTACGTAGTAGATCAAGAATCAGGAAATTCATTTTCTTTAAGTGTACCCGCCTCTTTCTGCAAGATAATGCAAATTCATTTTCTTTAGGTGGTATAAGTAGGAGTGTGCAATTAGCTGGTTGGATGTTGGATGAGTTTTTTTTTAATTGACTGGCCATCTTATTAGAGAGTTGGTATATTTGTGACCCGATGTTAGGAATGAATAATAATGTAAGTTCATCCACATGCTAAAATCCGACCCATCATAATATGAGGCATAGTGGACGGATGTGGGTTACTTCCGGTCTAACCCATCATAATATGTGAGTGTGGGTTATCAACCCGTTGGTCGACTCGTTAGTTAACTCATTTTGACCATGAACCGATGAGAAAAACGACCCACACACTTTCACGGGTCGACTCTTTGTGCGGTTATGCGCTTCTTCCCGATTTTCCTTTTCGTATATCTCTATTTTTGAAATTATAACTTGAACATTTCAATATTAGATTTATATAAGTATGCGAATTTTCACTATATGTTGGATCCAAGCACGGTATGTTATTTTAGTGTAATTTTATATGTTAATACACATATGTTATATGAGATTTAATATAATTTATAAATTTATGAACAATATAATGACCTTTTTCATATATCGAGCTAAATCAGGCTAAAGCTGTCGGACCATTAAACCTTAAGTCACTTACTCAATCAAGCTAACGAGCTAAACCAGGTTGACAACCTTAAGCCTGTCAAATCCGCCACCCACCCATAGTTGACACTAAAAATTTCCACAATCCCCCTTTGTATTTCTTTCTAAAATTTGATCATTTGATTACAATTGCCAACAATCAATGATTTCTCTCCACAATCCCCCTTTGCATATCATAATTAGTCTTTGTTTTCAATTCCAATTTCCTCTCTCTACTACTTTTCAATTAAGTTTATCCTAATTAGTCTTTGTTTTTAATTCCAATTTCCTCTCTCTACTACTTTTCAATTAAGTTTATTATACGATTTGTTAAGAATTTATCCCAAACTCTCTCTCTATTTTTCAATCAAATTGATGGTTTGTTATGAATTTATTTCGATTTATGTTTGGTTATCATTATCCATACTTTTGTGCATTTTAAATGAATGATTTTTTTTTAATAATCCAGGAACATTAGCAACCATGAGTGACAGCGGGGCCTACTAAATCTAGGGGTACCTGCATACTAACCATCAAGGACTTTGTCTCGGCGCAGTGTCCGGCGTTGTGCTACCGTTATCGAGGAGACTTCGTCTCCTGTACAAAGGGTGCCTCCGGGAACACCAAGAAGGTGGTATTGGGATTCAAACCTGAGACCTTGTCACATCCCAATCTCGAAATCCAACCCTTTTACCAATTAGGTTGTCTTTCCATCGGCGTGCATTTTAAATGAATGACTGAATCGATTAGCTCCTGAAAAAATCCTCCCCCCTCCTATCCTCTTTCTGCCTTACATAACAAACATTTTCCGAAAATTACAAGGAGAAACCATCCCTCTTATCCCCTACAGCTATTCAGGCAAATTTTCATCCCCTTTTTAAATTTCGGCTCGTGCTGTCATGCAAACAAACAAACACATTCAAAACACATTTATAATTGTCTCCAAAAATTCGATTCAATCTGATTTAATCTGCTTTGTATATATGGGTACGTACTTTGTTGTTGCACGACAGCTTTAAGCTGTGCAATAGATAAAGGATCAATATCGATGAATGGCCGGCCGGCCGGCTTCATTTCTCATCATTGTTGTTAGCCAGTCAATTATTCCACTTGCGGTACCAGCTAGTAATTTTGGTTGTGTTAAATCAGACAGTAGTTTTGTTAAAAAAACTGCCTCAGTCGCTCTGATATTGCCACACCCGGTGCAAAGCGCCAGCCGTTATATATGTACATATAAAAACAAGCAGGCCCAAAAGAAACTTCTTAGAAGTTTGAACTAATTAGTAGTGGAATGAAATTTTGAGTAAAGGTCAGGTGGAGATTAGATAGTGTATATTTATTGCTCTATTCTCATAGTTTGGGTTTTATTTATATTTAGGGCAATGTCTATTTTTTACTCAAATCTTTTTCAAATTTTTTTATTTTATATACTCACATTTGATCGAGTTTTGGGTATTCATGGTTGATTATGGATGATAATTTATCTATATAACTTCAACCAACATGTTAACACTTGCAAATATACTGGCATTACATAGGTGAAAAATTAAAACAATGAATTACTAAAATCAAGAAAATTAGTTAAACATAATTTAATTTTATGAAAATATTATATAGGTATGATAATTATCAAATACATTGAGAAAAATAATGATCAATTTTTTAACAAAACATGCATGTGTATAATCGGGAAGGAGTCGGATTGGATAGTAAGAAAACCATTCCCGCCCAACACCCCCAATATTCGGGTTCAAATTTTATCCAAACTCATTAAAAAACTTCAGGTTAGGATTTTACTCACCAGATTAGATCGGATTCAGGCGGGTATCTACAGATATGGTTATTTTTGCTGCCCATAAGGGATAATTTGGTATGTGATCTGCCCATTCTAGTTAATCCGCATCTTATTTTGCTGAACGCAGAACATGATTCGACTAACCTAGGTGCTCAGAAGGCCAATTTCCATCAGCGTGTGTCGAATGAATTCCTACCGAAACTTGTCATAAGCCTTCTCCAAGTCAATTTTCTTCATGAGGCCCCCTTTAGCTCCCTTCTTCTTACGGAAGGAGTGGAGCACTTCTTGAAGATTAATGATGTTGTCATTGGTTTTCCAGCCTAGAATAAAACTGCTTTAAGTTGGTGCCACCAATTTTGTCATCACAAGTTTCAATCTGTTGGCAATGGCTTTCGTGATTGCCTTGAGACACACATTATTCAGGCAAAGCGGACGAAAGTGGGTCGGACTCTCAGGGATTCTCATTTTCGGGATGAGGATGATGGTCGACTCCAAGTTAAACACAAAGTTTGCTAACTCATAATATCTCTTTATGGATTTAAACATGCCAGTTAAACTTGGTTTACTAAACTAGCCACCATCCTTGAAAGTTTGGGTTAGCAAAAATATCACAATGGTTATTCCCTCTTTACTAAACACATTGGATCTAATGTCTTTGCATTACTAGTCTATGTTGATGATACACTCTCAACATGCAGGGAACTGTCTCTTTCAAATCTGGAATGTCAAACATCAATTAGATATTACCTTCACCATCAAAGGGTCTTAGTTAGTTCAAGTACTTTCTTGAAATGAAAATTTACAAATATGATTTTGGTATCCATCTAATTCAAGGGGAAAATGCCCTTGATCTCCTTCGAACACATCTTTTGGCTTCCAAAACCAACTACCATACCCTCCATTCAAATTACTCACTTATCAAGCACACATGGCTTACCTCTAGATGATGCAAGATACAATAATTATATGACTTTACTTGGTCGTTTTCAATACTTGAGTAACACACAACCTAATATTTGTTACACGTCAACCAATTTAGTTAGTTTGTTGATGCTCCAACTAGTGATCATGAACATACAACACACTGACTCCTTGGATATATCAAAACTAATCCTTCTGAAGAACTATTCTTCCCTACTAACTCTCGTATCAGATTAGCAATATTTTCAAACTCTGGGTGGGTTGGCCGTCCTGACAAAAGACGTCCAGTAACTGGCTTTTGTATTTTCTCAAGTAACTCACTCATTAGTTGGTGGTCCAAGAAGCATCAGACAGTGTCCATGTCCTCATCAATAGCGAAATACATGGATTTGGTAGACATACATCAAATGAAATTCAATGGATGAAAGCCTTGTTCCATAAACTTCCTATGTAACCTAAACAACCCTACATGATTTATTGTGACAGTTTATTTGTTGTGAAGATGACTGAGAATCCAATTTAATTAACATGAAAGAGGTAAACATATTGGGGTTGATGAGATCAAGTTTTAGCCAATAAACTCAAATTTCAACACATATCGACTACTTTACAGCTTGTAGGCCCGTTTCTAAAAGTTTTACAGTTCGCACCTTCATTTAATTGATTTCCAAGCTCAACATGAAGACCATTCACTTTTAGCTTGAGGGGGTATTAGAATATAAGACTCATTCTACAACTTCTAATAATTTATGGATGTTATTGTATATAGGTAAAACTGTTATGTTAGAAGCAAATAACGTATCTGCCTCCGTAGATATATAGAAGCAAATATACGTCATTTAGAAGCAAATAATCTCTCATTCTAAATCTAGGCCATGT